AATGATTGTATGATAATGTGTTCTTATGCTCTCACCAATGTGGGTGTAGTTAGAGAATAGAAGCATGTGCACCATTATCCACTCATCATTTGTGCACCTTAGTGTAGGATGGGTTTGGCTGGTATTGACTACTGTCTATCACTGTTCAGGTAGTCAAGGAGTGGGTATTGTTTCTTGCCCAGTGGGTGGAGCTGCAGAGGGTATGGTTGTGGCTGGGCTGTATGGGCATAGTTGCTGTCTCCTATCAGGTGAGAAAGGATAAAACACACACACACAAGAAAACAAAATAAGCAACCAACAATGTAAAGAGAAACAATAAGAGAAGAGGGACAGAAAAAATGGAGCCATAGAAGAGAAAATAAAAGGAAGAAAAATTTAAAACACTTAGAAAAATCAGGGAGAGGTAAGATGAAAAGAGAAAGAGATAGTATTAAACATTTAAAAGAAAAAACAAATAGTGTTGATGGTGGTGGTCATGTACCATCAAGTCGATTCCGACTCATAGTGACCCTGCACAGGGTGGTTTCTGAGGCTGTAAATCTTTACAGGAGCAAAAAGTCTCATCTTTCTCTCACAGAACAGCTGTTAGTTTCAAACTGCTAACCTTGTGGCTCGCAGCCCAATTCGTAACCATTATGCTACCAGAGCTCCTTAAAAGTGGTAATAGAAAGGATAAAAAAAATTCAAGGGAATGTAAACAGAAAGAGAAGAATAAACAAATAAGAATAACAAAAGGGAAAAAAGTAAACAGTGCAGCTATTGGACCCAGAGAGGGAAAAACTTTGAGTGGGGGCGTGATCCTGCCAACCAAGCAGCTCATGAGGAGTCTGCAGGAGGGATGCACCTGGGGGCAGGGTGACTGGTTATGAGAGCTTCTGATAGACTAATGCTGTTCTGGTGGCTCTACAGGTTCTATAGGTCTGAAGCCAAGCCCACCTGAATCCAGGCATAAAAGTAGCACAACCGGCCCCTACCTCACACTGGAGTGGCTCACAACCATGCAGCTCTGAATTCCTAGAGGGGTGGATAAGGGAGGAAGCTGGCCACACCTCAGGTCATCAGGGGAGCATGGGAGGAAACAAGGAATCATACCTTTCCCGCCAACTGTGGGAATCTGTTTTGCCAGGTCACCTTCTGTCACCAAAGCTGCTCAAAAAATTCAAGATGGTTGCGCCGTGTCCAGCAAGCTATTAACCTGTCAGCATCCTGCTCAGCTTCTCCTGCCAGCCAACACTTCTCTAACCTTTCCTCTGAAGTTCAGGGTTTGAAGATTTTCATCTGTGTCTGCTTCATTTGGTCTCTTATATCTTTGTTGTCCATGTAGTGCTTCTGCTTAGTTGGCCGTCTTCCAAAACCCTAACTCTTAAAGCTTGTTGTATTCTGGACACAGAACTTGCCTTTCTGTTGAGCGCATTTTCTTGACATTGGTACTACTGACATTTTGGATCAGATGAATTCTTGTTGATGGGGATAGGCCTGTGCATTATAGAATGTTCAGCAGCATCAGTGGCCTCTACCTACTAGATGCCAGTAACGCCCCTTCCAATAGTGACAGCCAAAGATGTCTCCAGACATTCTGCCAAATTTCCCTTGGGGGTGGCAAAATCAACACTGGTTGAAAACCACTACCATTGAGAAAAATCATTTTATAACACCACCATGTAGTCTCTCTCTTCCTTGAAAAGAGAAAAATCAGCTTCCCAACACAAAAACATGCTAGATTTAGTGGGTTTGTGGAGCCCACAATAAACATCTTGATCTTGGCAATCATGTCAAACCAAAATGCCCAACCACATTGTTTACTCTACTGGAAATAAACTTGAAGGCATAATAAGAAAATTCAGGGAAGTGAAGGTAATAGAATTTGGAGGTATGAGCAAAAATGAAGGAGAAACCATTATTGTAAGTTCCCGTTTATGGGCTGACACATCAGCCAGGGTCTCCCCACATTTGTGACTCAGACACAAAACACAAGGCAATCCACACTTATTAGTTTGAGGTCCAAAGTCCACAAACTCAGTGTTTTTGGAACTTATCCCTCATTCAAAAGTCCATTGCATTACATGCAAATATACGTAAAGACACAATTTTACCCCCTTACTTTATCAAGCCACACAGTTTAAATGTTGGTTGTTCTGATGTTTTTTTATTTTCTTACTGGGTCCATTTTACATTAAAAAATATATATATAAAACATTTTTAATATATCTTAGAAAATTAGCAAAATATTAAGAAAAGTTTAGCATATTACATTGTACAATGTTTAGATGAGAATATTTGATTATAAATATGTTGTTCCCTCTCAACAAAGCGCATCACAAAAATACATTTTTAAAACTTCTTTCATGTATAATTCCTGTATATGATCGTAGCTCTACTTATTAAGGAAAAAGCTCAATTAGGGCCTTCACATACTCCTGAAAGTCTCTGTACAGTAATTACAAAAGTAAACCAATGACTCTGTCAGCATTTTGACAGCTGACACCAGCTGAAACTATTTCAATCAATAAGAGAATTCAGTTAGTATCAAAATATCATTTCAAAAGGGATTTCTGTACTGTCTTTGCAGGTAAGTATCTATCTTAACCAAAGCATTGTTTAAAAGGATTTTTGCCTCCTTGAGCTTGTGCCACTGAAGCCAGGATATTAGCCACTAACGCTCAGCATTACACAGAACTCTTCGACACAACTACACATAAACTGTATGCACTGACTAAAGATCCACATGTGATTGGAATGCAGGCAGTCCTCAGGCTGAGTGGTCCATGGAGTCAAGGGTGGGACAACTAAGCTCAGGCCATGTTTTCACATGCCAGGTTAAGGAAGAACATCTGCAAAGGCACATAGCCACTACCCACAAGTAGAAATGCACATATTCTACCACACTCTCCCCCAGGCCAGGGCTCTTTGACTCCACACTGTTTTTACACCAGAGATTTCACACGAGACAACAGCTTCCTCTTCAACTATCCTTTCTTCATTCTTTCTGAGAGACACTAGAATGAGACCCTGGTGTGATACATAATCAAACCATAGGAAGGTTCCCTTTTCTCACCTACATCTCATTAGCCGAATAGATTGGCCAGCTTCTGAATAAAAGGATAATACTGCTAAGTGGTTAGCATCCAAATCAGCTGAGAAATTTTGAAGGCACATGTTACAAAGACTTTTCCAGTAATAACTAGCTAAGGCACCTCTAAGAGACCATTAAATAAAAACTATTTTATTAAACAGCCAAAAATCTGAAGATAAATTCCTAACACCACTTAATTGGCTCACTTTCCAGTCATAAAAGGTGATAATTTATGGGATTATATTGTAATTTCCTCTATTGTAAATAAATACATACACTGAAATTTCTAAACCAGCATTATTCTAGCTTGTAAATATTTTTATATCACTGCAAGCATTAGAATAAGAATGTATAAGGTTTTTCTGTCCTCACTGAGAGAACTTAACCACTGAATTCTACCTTTTTTGCAACAACTGAGTTATCTCCATATTTATTTACAATTTTTAGCGTCATTGCATCAGAACTACGAAGTTATTGCTGTCTATAAATTATAATCAGTGTTGGGAGGCTTGATTTCATAAAAATTATTTTCAATCCTAAAACAGACCACAAAACCCGCCCAATATACCTTGCAAACCGGATGCACAGACACTACGATTTCAAAATGTTTTGTTTTTATTGAGTATTTTTTCCACTGCCACCCATAGAGACAGAAAAAGCAGAAAAGCAGCCCACCGAACAAAAACTAGCATCACGCCCTGGCTAATCTGATGCTAGGCCATCATCTTTATGATGTTTGAATCTAAATAGCAAACTCACAGTCCACTTCTCATTGCAGTGTGCTTTATAAACTACCCCAAATTTCTACTTCAAATTACCTTCTACTACTTAACAAGGAGCTCTGGTAGCGTAGTGGTTATGAGTCAGGCTGCCAACCTCAAGGTCAGCAGTTAGAAACTACCAGTGGCTCCAAGGGAGAAAGATGAGGCATTCTGCTCCCGTAAAGATTTACAGCCTTGGAAACCCTGTGCAGGGTCACTATAAGTCAGAACCGACTCCACGGCGCCTAACAACAACTTAACACAATGGAATCTCTGTGTGGTGCACATGGTTAAGTGCTCAACTACTAGCAGAAAGACTGGCAGTTCAAGTCCACTCGAAGGCACCATGGAAGGCAGGTCTAGTGAGTTTCCAAAAGATCACAGCCTTAGAAATCCTATGAAGCAGTTCAACTCCATACACATGGGTTGCCAGGAGTTGGACGTGAATAAATGGCAACTAACAAATTCAACAACAACAATTTAAGATAAATCTCTTTCGACCACAGGCATGCGTTTGGGCAACAATGAATGGTAGCACATCACTTAAACGTGGAAGAGGGGCAATTAGGTTGAGAGTATGGGCCAAGTGGATGGTTTCCTTAGAGATGAAGGGAAAGGAAATGGGGATGATGGCTCATGAAATAAACGTAACAGAAGCTAGAAAACCTCCACTAACCAGATGACATTCCAGAAGGGAAGACGAGAAACAGTAGTGATTCCGGAACCTTTCCTTCAGAGCACCAACGCCAACGGCAGTCTGCCAAATGGCATGGAATGACAGGCAGATGGGCCAATCAAGTTTACAAATACATACTTGGAGAAGGAAACACGTTGCCAAACGAAGTGATTGGCATTCAGTCTAGAGAGTTTCTAACTGTTCAGTGATAGGGAGCACCTGTCCCCGACTCCACTCCCAACAGTGCAGACACTGAAGTGAACGGGGCTGCCTCCAACACTGCCTCATTTCAAAAAAAGAATCTGAGAGAGCTGACTACAAGGCAATTTTCAGAAGCTGAGTTTTCAAAGTAAGAGTAAGAAGCTTGACAATATTGGCTCCCCCCACCCCCACCCCGCCATAGGGACCTATTTGCCAGGAGATAAATAAGAAGGCTTCCTAGTATATTCACACAATTGAAGGCACTAAGGGAAGAAAAACTAGGAGCAGTAAAGCCAGTTGTCTTGCGTTGAGCATAATTTATCTTTCCAGTTACACTTTGTATTTATGTAACTGATGCTACTTCAGCCCAGCTCAGTTACTCAGTCGTCTTTTTTTCTTTCCAATTCTTCTCTCGCTCTTCAAGTTCTGCCTGGGTGAAAGCCGCAGGCCCCCAGTGAGTGATCAACTGAGGGTTTTTTGAACCTAGGGAGACAAACATCCTTTAAATAACTACATTATAGTCTTCAATGCACATTATGATACTTTCGCCCCCAGAAAAAATAGCACCTTTCTTACTTTATTTCTTCTCTAAGAAACATCTATAAATATGTATGAACAGTATGCTCTACCAGCCAAAACAACTAGGGGGTTAACTATTATGGTGGTGGTGGTTGTGTGCTGCAGAGTCGGTTCTGACTCATAGCGGCCTGGTATAGAGTTTCCAAGGCTGTAAATCTTTACGGGAGCAGAAAGCCTCATCTTTCTCCCACATAACAACTCATTGTGAGATTAGCAGCCCAACTCATAACCACTATGCTACCAGAGCGCCTTAGAGGGCAAGTTATTCAAGGGAAATTTACCCTAAATAGCTTGGCTTCTGTGTGCTCAGACTAAAAAAAATTGGGGTATATATAACTCAAATGCATAAATAAAACAGAAAGATAAACTGAATAAATACATGATTATTTGAAAGAGTCTATTACCTGGTTCTATCAATCGAATTAATCCTTCATGTTGGGCCACTTTGTCCTTCCAGCTCTTGGTCTTACTAGTTGCCACCTCCAGCTTCTTTTTAACTCCCTGGAAAAAAGTAGATTTTGGACTGTGTTCACACACACATAGTATAAGAACCAGAAAACAAAGATGGTGCACTTAATATATATTCGTGGATTCTCTCATTAAATCCCCACAGACACTCTGAGAAGTAGAAACTATTACTACCTCCATTTTAGAGATGAGGAACTAGAGTTCAGAGAGGTTAAGTAGTCTGGTCAGAGTCACACAGTAAGAAGCAGGAGAGCCAGAATTTGAACCCAGACTGTCTAGTTCAAAAATTCTGTTCCTAGTTATTGTTGTTGTTGTGAAGTGCCGTCGAGTTGGTTCCAACCCATAGCGAACCTGTATACGGTTTCTGAGGAACAGCTGGTGAGCTTGAACCACCGACCTTGCAGTTCAAATGGTTTTGCAGTCTGGCGTATTAACCCACAGCGCCACACCAGGATTCCTAGTTATAGATGGAGTTAAAAGATACTGTGGGCCAGTTACTCATTTGTTGCCTCCACATTCAAGCCCACCTTAACTGTCCTGTTGGGGATACTGGAGTAATCCTCCCTTGCCAGCTAGTACCATTAAGCTTTGGCAGTAGAGGGTGCTGAGGGGACACTAGAAGAGGACAGGTGTTTCTTCCAGCCTCCACTGTGCTCCTCCTGTGGCACGTGGGCACCCATGGTGCCTGTCTCTGGTGAGTTAGTGGCACTTCTCTGGGGGCAGCTTCTCAGGAAGCTCTGTCAGCACCGCACCACAACAAATGTTTCTCCTCTTCAAGGAGGCCTGGACCCAGCACTGGGCATGGAGGACCAAAGAGACCTGCCTTCCCTAAGTGCTCCGTCTCCATCTAGAGGCAGTGGCTGCTTCCTCTCTTGGCCACTGCTGTATCCTTCGTTTTCTTTACCCTTTCATAAGTAATCATCTTTATGCTAAACTTTCCTTATTCAGATAACTATATGGTTTCTGATTAGACTCTATAACAGATACATACAACTTCTCTCTCCTTCTTCTGGGCTGTCCATATTTTTTGTTATTGTTGATAAGTGCTATCAAGTTAGTTCTGACTCATAGCAACCATGCATGGGATTTCTGAGGCTTTAAATTTCTGAGGGAGCAAAAAATCTCATTTTTCTCCAGCTGCCCATATTTAAAGCTAAGCAAAACTTCTCCTACTGAAAAAAATTCCCTTTAAAGCATTTGAAGAGACAAGTCTGCAGGGACAAATGGATCACCTCATACTGCTCCAGTGCTTGCTTCCGTTCTAACTCCAGCTGTTCCAGCTGCTGCATGGCCTCCTGCAGGGCTTGCTCCTTCACCAAGCGCTGGTTCTCCAGCTCCTGCTTCTCCGCTTCTGTTGTCTGAATGGCCTGCTGCTGCTCCAAATGCCACTTCTCCAGTTCAGCCCTCTTGGAAGACTCTTCTTCCAGCAACCTATAATATAGAGAAAGAGCTCAAGTAAACCACACTTGACCCAGCAGTAGCAAACAAGTGAGACCATCTCCAGTGGGGTCAGAGAGGCCCACAGTCATGAAGCTGGCAAGCTGTCCTATCATGCCTTTCACACTCATGTTGAAAAGCTATCACAGTTTCACTCCTGTTTGGAAAAAATAGGAGCATTTACTGGGAACATAAGAGCTAAGAGCTGAGCCTGCTATTAACTCAATTAATTCTCAGAATAAACTTGGGTTCCACTGTTACTCACATTTTAGAGAGAAAGAAAATGAGATACAAAGGTAGTAGGTCATCAAACAAGTTTTTTAAATTTACCTACTTGCTACAACATGAAAACATTTTCACCTGCTGAAAATCTATCACCAAGGAGAAAACTGCTAATTAAACTAAAGAAGAGGTGAAGAAGGAAGCAGCTAACAAAACGTAGGATAACACATATCATTTCTTTAACAACTAACTGCCAGGTATTTTACTTTCATTATTGCTAATCCCCCAATGATTCTGCAAGGTATTGTTATCTCTACATTACAGATGAAGCAAGTGAGGACCAGTGGGTTTAAAAGTATGTTGTGCAAAGTAGTAATGGGATTTCAACCCATGTCCATGTGATTCCAAAATGTCATTTTGCAGTAAGCCAGGCTACCTACCTAACATCCAGTTATGTTGTTGTCAAGTGCCAGCAAGTCGATTCCGACTCACAGTGATCCTGTATAGGGTTTCTGAGAAGCAGCTGGTGGGTTTGAGCCATCAACCTTGTGGTTAGTAGTCCAGTGCTTATCCTACAGCACCACACCAGGATTCCATATCCAGACATGGAGATGTTTAAATACATAATAAATATGTCCATTTTAACACAGAGCCCAAATCTCTGCTACAAATATAGACAATAAAGTTAGTCTCCTGCCGAGGAGAGACAGGACATATCTCTAATGACTTGACCATAAATTACATCATGATAAGTGGAGAAAAGATAGAAGTTGTCAAAAACTTCATTTTGCTTGGATCCACTATCCACGCTCATGGAAGCAGCAGTCAAGAAATCAAATGACATACTGCATTGGGCAAATGTGCTGCACAAGATCTTTTTAAAGTATTCAAGAATAATGGTATCAGTTTGAGGACTAAGGTGCTTCGGACCCAAGCCATACTATTTCCAATAACCTCATATGCATGTGAAAGTTGGACAAGTACTGCAGACTGTAGAAAAATCAATGAATTTGAATTATGTTGTTGGAGAAGAATATTAAAAGTACCATGGACTGCCAGAAGAACAAACAAATCGTGTTGGAAGAAGTACAGTCAGAATGCTCCTTATAAGCCAGGATGGCAAGACTTCGTCTCTCATACTTTGGACGTGTTATCAGGTGGGACTCGTCCCTGGAGAAGGACATTGTGCTTGGTAAAGTGAAGGGTAAATGAAAAAGACCCCCAACATGATGGACTGACACCGTGGCAGCAGCAATGAGCTAAATGTAACAACCCTTTGTGAGAATGGTACAGGACCAGGTAATGTTTCATTCTATTGTATATAAGGCCATTATGAGTTGGAACTGACTTGACAGTACCTACCAACAACAACGTCATATTATTAGTGTCATTATGATCTCATTTGTTCTGTACTTCCTATTCATTAAGGGTATCTAAGAATAGTCGAGATTTTTGGTAACCACTTCACAGGGAATTAAAACTCCAAATCTTTTCAGATGAATTGCTATTAAGCCAAGTCTAATTCGTAATGTAGGATAGGCACTGGATTGCTAACCACAAAGTAGGCAGTTCAAACCTACCAGCCACTCCATGGGCGAAAGATGAGGCTTTCTGCTCCCATGAAGATTTACAGCCTCAGAAATCCTATAAGAGTTACTGTGAATCAGAACCAACTTGATGGAACTTAACCAAGAACAACAACTGGATCCTGTATTTGTTCTGTTCATATTTTAAACTATATTCTTGGTCTAAAACCATCATTCTGGCCTGTCAGTATCTTTTATAAAGGCTTACTTTAGCATTCAATATATTATATATATCTTTTCTGCCTACAAACATTATAAAAGTACAAAAGCCAATGCACTGAGGGATTACCAAATGCCAGGCGTGACCCTAAACGCTTCATGCTTACCTCATTCCATCGTCCCAACAACCCCACGAGGCTAGCAATTACTCTTATTTTAGAGATGAAGAACTGAGGTGCAAAGTAGTGAAATAATGTCTCTAAAATTACACAGCTAGAAAGCATCGGAGCTGGAATTCAAACCCAGACCTCGCACCAGAACCCCTGTTTTCTTCATTATCCTAAACTGCCTTTAGATACATAAAAAGTGTTATCACAAGGAAGAGAGATTGCTGTTGCTCCATAGTGCCCTATGGGTAGAACTTGGATCCCCTGATTCATTCAGAAAACATTCCTTAGGCACCTACTGTGTACCAGGCATTGTACTAGTTGTTAGGAAAACAGTCTAAGCTATGCTCCTCAGCCTTGTTGTTGTTGTTAGGTGCCATCGAGTTGGTACCGACTTATAGGAACCTTATGCACAGCAGAAAAAACACTGCCCGATCCTGGGCCAACCTCACTACTGTTGCCACGCTTGAGTCCACTGATGCTGCCACTTGGCCAATCCATCTCGTTGGGGGTCTTGTCTTCCTTTTTTTCTTTTACCCTCCACCTTCCACTCTACTTTGAGGAAGCAGCAGTTCCATAGTCGCATTTTGCGTGCCTTCCTCAGCCTTACATATCCCAAAATTAAGCGAAGAACATCATAAAGGGGCAGGTTGTGACTTAGCATCAAAAATTTCACAGGAATGTCACTTGTCCAAATGTTAAATAAGTAGCTTTCTGCGCTCTCATTTCGAAGAGGAAAGATAACCTCCCCTCAAGATTATATAAAAGAGTAAACTTCAATTTTAATGAAAAAAAAAATGTGTGTGTGTGTGTGTGTATGTTGTTTTTGTTGTTAAGTGTCATCGAGTCAGTTCAACCTCATAGTGACCCTATATAGGGTTTCCAAGGAGCAGCTGGTGGGTTTGAACAGCATCAAATGCAGAGTGCTGGTGTGGTGCTGTAGGATAAGCACTGGACTGCTAACCACAAAGTTGTTGTGGTTCAAACTCACTCAGCAGCATTTAACAACAACCTAGTGCTTAACCTCTGAGTCACCAGGGCTCCTCTAAGAAAGGCAAAAGGGTTTGCTAAAAAGCTCTGTCTATTTGTATCCTAAGATTATGCTTCATTTGCTTAGTGACAGAAGCTTCTAATCCAACTCCACAGTGACATCCCTTGTTTGCTCTACCCAGAAAGGCCTACCCTGACATGTGGGAGAAAGGGGAAAGACCCTTTAACTGAGAGAATGTCTCCGGGATCAGGCTCAGCCTCACTTCAGAATGACCACCACAATAACAAAAATAACCACTAGAGGGGGCAAAATTGTTCAAATTCTAAAACTTTAGCTGGATTAAGATAATTTAGAATAGTAAAATAAAACACTGGAAACGGATAAAGACGATGGTTGAACATGGTAAAATTGTCACTGAATTTAACACCTGAAGAATGCTGTAATGGCAACTGTTTTGTTCCCTATGTTGTTTATTATTAAGTACCATCAAATCAGTTTCAACTCATGTGGTTGTTAGCTGTCAAGTATATTGTTACATGCATACTTATCAAAATTCAATTAAAAACAAAATAACTCATGCTCAGCTCTTATCCACAGTACTTTGATTCATTAAACCGGACACAGTCCCCTGTATCTATACCTTTTAAAAAGCTTAGAGGTGATTCTGATACATACCGCTCACTACCAGACCAGCTGCCATCAAGTCAATTTCAACTCATGACAGATTAGAACTGTACTTCATATAGTTGTCAATGGCTAATGTTTGGAAAGTATATAACCAGGCCTTTCTTCCAAGGTACCTCTTGGTGGACTTGATCCTGCAACATTCTGATCAGCAGCCAACCATGTTACACACCACTGTTTTAAAATCACTAGCTTAATTATTCAAAAAATCATTCATTCTATAAACACTAAACAATTTTGTACAGTTATATGATTCCTTTTGTGATGTAAATCCTGTTAGATCATAGTGAACCTCAGTCAAAACTCCAGATAAGGAGCTCTGGTAGCGTAGTGGTTACGAATCGGGCTGCTAACCTCAAGGTCTGCAGTTCTAAACTACCAGCTGTTCTGTGGGAGAAAGATGAGGCTTTCTGCTCTGTAAAGATTTGCAGGCTCGGAAACCCTGTGCAGGGTCGCTATGAGTTGGAACCGACTCCATGGTACTTAACAACAACAAAATAGCTCATCTTACCTATAAATTATCTGTACAACAGCTACAAACTTTGGAAGCAACACAAATTATGAAAAAGCTCAAAAAATGCCTAGAGAAACTTAGAATGCCTCTCTTTGGAAGAAACACGGGGCTCAAACCTTCCCATGCAGTGGACCTTCAGCTCATATTACTAATGCCCAATCGCAAACAGAAGCTTGTTCCAGGAATCTAGTTTCATACCACAGTATCGTGAACACACATTTATGAGCCCATAAATGCCAGACAATATGCTACACACTTAATTTTCTAATTAGACAATAATTTTTCTCATGATAGAATCAAAACATCCAGAACCTAACTAAGTTTTCAGTTATTTTTGTTAAAACATACAACCAAGAACATCCTTTTCCTCACTCTTCCTAGCTAAAGATTAAGTAAACACCTTCAGGCCCCCCACATGGCTCAGCTATGGCCTGACGCAGACCCCTGCCTCCACATTAAGGCAGTACTGGGCCATTTCTGGTCTGGGGCATGTCTAAGAAGTCAGACTCTCATTAGAGCTGATCCTGGATCATTCTAGAATATGACTATAAAGGCAGCCCACCAAACATGCCCACCAGACTGCTCTAAAAGAGCAAGATGGTCCGGCCCCAGAAGCAATGTCTCCCAGTGCCCCAGCCAATCCTCCTGGAGCCTCTCCAGTTTGGATCTCTAGCTCAGTCATCCAAAGCACAGATACTCCTGTCTCTAGCATTTCCTAAAGATGGTATTGGCCCAAGCAAAGAAAAAAAGGCAAAGTATAGAAGCTGATCTGGCACCTGGCCTGAAGTTTCCGCACAGTCTCTTCATCTAGCCGGGCCTGTCTCTCATCCTCAAGGGCCTCTTGCAACTTGAGGTACATGTCTTCCAGCTCCTGTACTCGCTGCAAATATTGTTCCAGTTCTGAGGATTTTTGAGCAACCTGCTCTTCCATCTGTTGTCTGATCTGGTGGTATAAAAGAGTCGTGCTTAAAAGGAGGTTAACTTTTCCCTCAGGGAAAGCCTCCCACTCTACCTGCTTTCTCAGGTATTACCCACAGTTCACAGCTGCAGCCCATCCTCCGTCCTCCAGGCCTTAAACTTAAAGATGGAAGAGATGTGAGCGCCACCCAGCACCAACATTAAAAGAATCCCAAGAAAGCAAACTACAACTTAAATAATGGGTTTTGCCCTGGTATATTTTTCATCTCTTCCATTCCACATTTTAAGAATAAATCAAAGAGAATGGATGAACTCCTACAACTATTGCGATGAGGTAATCATTAAACCAAAAACATCTCCTGAAGTCATCTAAAACTAAACAATCATTTCGCTTAACTAGTAAAGAAGGTTGGCCTTGAGCATTATGTTCTTTGAACAACTACCTGTATGGGATCAAAGTAACAACAGCAATTCAAAAGATTAGACAGGAATCGTAGGGGGCAGTGAGTTTATATTAATGAGGGAGAAACAACTCAGAAAAGGAGTATGAGAATGGTTGCACAGTCAAGGACTCTATGGGCAGTTCTATTCAGACAGATAAAATGGCTAGGAGTCAGAATCCACTTGATGGCATACAACAAGAACAACAAAAAGGATAAAAAGGTACATACTTAAAATTTAAAGGCCTAAAATACCTTGATTTTTTTCCTTCCCACTTATGGAAGGCAGGGCATTACCTGAGGAAATACGGTTTCCATTACCTTGTAGAAGGATTTTTAAGTGCCAGGTATCTTTACAAGATTCATTTGAAGACCCTGGCTTTATAGTTTTAATTTTGTAATGAAAGGGCTTCACAAAGTTCATGGAAAAATGGAATGAAAAGATAACGGAATTCTTCTGTGAACTTTTTAAAGCCCCTTTGTATTAAAGCATAATATAAACAAAGAAAAGTGTACCTACAAAATAAAAGAGACAGAATGGAAGAGTAGAAAATGGAAACTATGGGAGTAGATTATCAGTAAAAAGTAAGGCAGGAAAAAAAAAAAGTAAGGCAGAAATTATATGGTAAGAGTTTAATCAAATGGGGAAAATTGGCCATTCTTAAAGAGAAGGTGTGGACAAGTAGATTTTGAAAAGAGTTTATAAATATTTATTACTGCAGAAAACTTAATATGGGAGTGAGGCTCTGGAGATCATGCTAAAACACAGCAAATAAACATGTGGCCCTTCAAAAATAGCTTAATATCCAATACTCTTTGTGGTGTGATCCCAGTGAAAATGTTTTAAGTAACTAATTTTATTCATTTGGTCTATTGTTTTGAAATATCTGTATTCTTATAAATTACTAATTTTTATATCAAGAAGCATCTCTTTAAGTCATTACTTTTGTAATCTATTTTGTTTTATAATGATATTGTCATCAACAATTTTTAAACCAGTTGTGTATTTTAATAACAAAACAGAATCAAGTCAAGGGTAAAAAAAAGTTTCTCTATATAATTTCTCTTTAAATTCCTTTCTGTCTTAAGACTGCAACCTTTTTGCCAGCAGTCTATTCTAAAAGCAATGACATTTTCCCCAGCCAGGGCAGCCAACATACTGAAACAAATAAAGGCAAAAAGAGAGATTCATCAGCACGGACTCCTCTTGTATTCACCCGGCTGCCTCGCATCCCCTCCTTGGAAATCAAACAGTTCAACTAGTACCTTAGCAAATTTATAGTTTCTCCCTTCTGGATTAAAAAGTTTTGAAACCCGATATTAAAAGTTGAAAGACAAGGACATCCTAAAAATAGTATTATATTCTTCAGCAAATGTCTGCAATTTATATTTTCACCTGTATTAGCTTACATCATCCTTGTACCAGTCCTGGGAGACCATAAGTCAATCACCCTAATTTAAAGAAGAGAAAAACTAATAATCAGTGAGAAAGAGCAGAGAGGAAACAAATCCAGATCTGACTGTAAGGGTAGAACTTTCTTTTACATCACATCTGTCTTCCTCTGTGTATTTTTCTCTCATAACACACACACACGATCACCATCTCTTTCAACTCTGAGCAACAAAAAGTTGCCAAAAGAAATGGATGGAGCATCTATCTATTCAGGTGCTTGCTTCAGCACCAGCCCACACATTACAACTCCATGTGAGACCTGTGTGCTTATCAAACAGCCCACGACTTTGAGCAACTGGCCTCTTGGGTCTATGGAATGGGAATCTCCAAGAGTAATCAGAGCAGCAAATCAGAACTCAGATGTTTTTATGATTCCAGAAGTTTCTATTGTGCTCACTAATAAGCAGAAATGCCACAAATACTATGCTTAATTTTTCCATAGCTTTTTTTTTTATCCAAACCAGGACCCTTTTGAAAACATAAAGGGATGCCATTAACAATTATATCAGGATAACAGGGACTGTCCCATCACCCTAACCACAGCATTCATCATCCCATTCCATAAATTTCTACTTGGGGTATGGGAAGCAAAGTATGTATCTTTTTATCTTTGTATCCTTGGCACAGTACTGAGAATACAAAAGGTGCTCAATAAACAGACAGTAAATGAAAGAATGAACATATAACTTTGCCCAATCTCCCACTGCAAATCAGTAGCAGAGCCAACCTGACCTGATAGCCTCACCTCCAGCCTTGCAGCCTTCCCTCTTTCCACCAGCCCACGCTGGCTCTGTGCCTAATGCAGCCTCAGCAAATGTATGGGTGGCACTCACATGCTTCTCCCGCTCCAACTCTGTGCTGAACCTGGCCTGTAGTTCCACTTGAGTCTGAAGGCGTTTCTTTTCTTCTTCCGCTGCACGGGATGCTGCTTCTTCCAGTTTCTACCCAATCAAAAACCCATCCCCAGGAAAGCAGGCAGTATTACAATGGAAGTGCATTTGAAGAGAGATGCCACATTTACACATATGGGAAAAGCCAGCATTCTTAACATTCAATAAGTTAGAATAAAACTTTTAGATCCATTGGAATTCTATTCCAACAATTTCCCCTTGTCAACATATAAAGTAAATTAGGTAAATGAATGATTACTGATAACAACAACATTTTGCAAAGAAAAAATCTGTACAGTCAGTGAGTTAAATTCACTGCAAAATGCATTCATGAGGGTTTAAGATGTACGAGGGGGCTTCAGCAAGTTTGTTGAAAATGGCATTTTTCCATGAACTTTTTGAAGCCTTCTCATGTTTTCTGGACTCCTTCTGTACAATCTTGTCATATATATATTATTCCTTAAAAATTTATCAGAAGCATGAAGAGCCCTGCAGACACTTTCCCCAGTGAAACAACTATGTTGTTAAGTGTTGTGGAATCCGTTCTGACACATACAACCCTGTAAATAGGGTTTTCAAGGAGCGGCTAGTGAGTTTGAACCGCTGACCTTGTGGTCCAGTGCTTATCCTACAGCACCAGGACTCCAAAACAACCATAGCCAGTGAAAATTATTTTAAAAGATAATAAATCTCTGGAAATATTCCTAAAGCCATACAGCAAATAGAAAATAACCATTAACTCAACAAAAATCTACTAAATCTTAATTAAGTAAAAAGTTTGTAGTATTTGAGCCAAAATGTGATCCCCACCCACTACCATCATGCAGTACAAGGGCACTTCAGAAAACCTGTGGAAAAAATGAAATTGAAAGATAATGGAATTTTTCCATGAACTTTCTGAAGCCCCTTCATATCTCTGACACCAAATAGTAAATGCAAAACCCACAATTCTACTGTAATACTCTTCAAGGTACTCATGAATGAAGACAGAAACTAAGGAAGAGAGAATTTATAAAAAGCAACAGGTCACCAAAAATGGACTTGATATCCTCAGAGGAATTAATTTTTCCATCTTTTTCTGACAAAATTAAACTGTGTCATTATTCTTACGTCTTTCCAGTCAGTGAAGTGTGAAATGTGTTTGTTGCCCTGCAACCCTAACACTGTCAGGCCTGCCAACTGCAATAACCTAGTCTTTTTTTTTTTTTCCAAGGCTATAAATAATTTATTAAATAAATGATTTTGAATAAAACATTTTTAAATACTTAAGCACTTATTTACGAAACAAATGAAACAAGTTATTTTCTACTATTAGAATGGAAAATAAAGAAACAACAACACATCTAAAATGTAGTCTGTGAAGAATAGTTTCTTTAACATATGGCTTATAAGAATATGTAACTTATTTGATAACATTTAAACAGAAATGCATCAAAATGTTAAAGACTTCTTATAATTTTGCATCAGTTTAGAAAACTTCTGAATGCAAGCAACTATTTATTCACAAAGAAACTGATCACAATATTCTTTATAATGTTGTTGTTGTTGTTAAGTACCGTGGAAAGAGTTCCGACTCATAGTGACCCTACACAGGGTTCCCGGGGCTGCAAATAAATGTTTATGGGAGCAGAAAGCCTCATCTTTCTCCCGCGGAACAGCTGGTAGTTTTGAATTGCCGACCTTAAGGTTAGCAGCCTGATTCATAACCAGTACACTACCAGAGCTCCTTGTTCTTTATAATTGTTGTTGTTAGGTGCCATCGAGTCCGTACCGATGGATAGCAACCGTTTGCACAGTAGAACAAAACACTCCCGGATACTGGGCTAACCTCACTATAGTTGCCATGCTTAAGTCCATCGATGCTGCCACTTGAACAATCCATCTCGTTGAGGGTTAATAACCTAGTCTTGATAGAGGAGTCCTGGTGTGGTGCTGCAAGATATTTATTACACTGAACCACAAGGTCAGCAGTTCAAACTCACCAGCCGGTCCTCGGAAACCCTATATAATGGTCACTATGAGTCGGAACCAACTTGACAGCACTTAACAACAAGTCTTGGCAGAAAGGTATCCTGGTAGTGTAGTGGATTACAAGGTGGGCTGCTTAACCAAAAGGCCAGCAGTTTGAATCTACCAGTCACTCCACCAGAGAAAGATGTGGTTTTCTGCTCCAGTGAAGATTTACAGCTTTGGAAACCCCATATAGTACCGATTATGACTCACTCGGTACTGACTCAGTAGCACATAACCAACACCAACACCAGTCCTGGTAGAGCCAAAGTTCATAAAAGTCACTGAAGCAGCTGCAATGAAATGGAAAGCCTCTCCTTCCCTCCCTCCATCGCTCTGCCCTGTGTCCCCCAGCCTGGGGGCGCAGACCGACCTTCCTCACAGTCTCCAGCTCCTGCTGCTTGTTTTCGTTGGCAGCCTGGAGTTCCTTCATCTGTCGCTCCAACTCCTCCTGCTCAGCCAGCAGTTTCTTCCGGAGTTCTTTCCGACGCTGGCGGGCTTCTTTGTGTGGTGGGGGGCTGCCAAGCTTCAACAGATGAATAGTAGAATGAATGGCTACAAAAGGTATCGGAGAAAAGGGGAAAGTATGCTTCAGTATAAAGTGTGAATAGCACAGTGGGGAAAAAAAAAAAACAGGCACAGTCAGAAGACCTGGTGTGGATTTGGATTTTGCCACCGAGGGGTCAACAGTCACACAAACCACCTGCAGCATCAGTTTCCTCATTTCTAAAATGAGAAGTCATCTGTAAACTCCCTTCCAGCTCCAAAACTCCATATCTGTGTATATCTATAGTTAAGTAGATACTTGGTTTGGGAACTTATGATTAATACCTTGAACTCCTATATATGTACTTCTCAAAAAGTCAAAGAATGAGGCACAGTGAAGGCTAAGATGAAAAGTTTCTGATACTTGTTTTGCTATCTGCTCTGTTTACTCTGCTCCTCATCTGTGCCTTATGGAAGTCTCCCAGCATCTCCCTTTCTGCAGTGATAATAGTGGCTACCATTTATTGAATAGTTAGCATGTTGTTGTTGTTTTTAAGTGCCGTCGAGTCGGTTCTGACTCATAGTGACCCTATATAGGGTTTCTAAGGGGCAACTGTTGAGTTTGAACTGCTGACCTTGTGGCTCAAACCAATCTTGCAATCTATACAGCCTTAATATGCATTACCTAGGTGTCCTGGTGTAGTGTTATAGGGTTAGCACTGGACTACTAACCACAAGTCAAGAAATCAAACGATGTATTGCCTTAGGCAAATCTGCTGCACATGACCTTTTTAAAGTGTTGAAGAGCAAAGATGTCAGCTTGAGGACTACGGTGCACCTGACACAAGCCACGGTAATTTCAATAATCTCATATGCATGTGAAAGCTGGACAATGAATAAGGAAGATCGTAGAAGAATTGATGCTTTTGAGTTATGCTGTTGGAGGAGAATATTGAAAGTGCCATGGGCTGCCAAAAGAACCAACAGATCTGTGTTGGAAGAAGCACAGCCCGAGTACTCCTTAGAGGCCAGGATGGACAAACTTCGTCTCTCATACTTCAGACATATTGTCAGAAGGGACCAGTTTCTGGAGAAGGATATCATGTTTGGTAAGGTGGAGGGTCAGAGAAAAAGAGGAAGACCCCCAATGAGATGGGTTGGCAAAGTGGCAGCATCAATGGACTGAAGTGTGGCAACAATAGTGAGGTTGGCCCAGGATCGGGCAGTGTTTCGTTCTATTGTGAATAGGGTCACTATGAGTCGGTACCAACTCGATGGTACCTAACAACAACACTAACCACAAGGTTCAAACCCACCAGCCATTCCTCAGGAACCCTGTACAGGGTAGTTATGAGTCAGAACCAGATCAAGGACTCTTACCAACAACAATGCACTATCTAATTTTTATGTGAAATCTGATTTTTTCCCTATTTGTTGTAATCATTTAAATTTAACTTTTGAACAGCTAATGCTTTTACATTATTAAAAATAAGATACCATGAAAGGACATATGGGGAAAATCTCCCTCTTATTTCTATCCTTCAAACACTGAGTTCCCCCCCTTCCCGTTAGCAACTACGCTAACAGTTTCTTTTGTACATCTTTCCTAAATTATTTTCAGCATCTACAAATAAATATGTTTATAGGTCCTCACCTTCTTTTGACACAAGTAGTAGCATAACATACTCTTCTGGCTTTTTGCTTTTTTTTTTAATTAATTTATCTCAGAGGGCTTTCCATACCAAAACATAAAGAATGACAGCGTTATTTTTATTAATGCACAGTAATCCACTGTATGTTATTGTTGTTGTTAAGTACCACGGAGTCGGTTCCAACTCATAGTGGCCCTGCACAAGGTTTCCGAGGCTGTAAATCTTTACAGGAGCAGAATGCCTCATCTTTCTCCCGTGGAACCGCTGATAGTTTCGAACTGCTGACCTTGAGGTTGGCAGCCCGACTTGTAACCACTACACTACCAGAATCCACTGTATAGCTATCCCATAATTCATTCAACCATTTCCCAATTAATGGATGTTTAGTTTACTCACTAGCCTTTCTATCACAAACACAGCTGCAACCGTTCATTCGAAAAATGTGCAAGTGTATCTGTCATTATCAATGTTGAATCTTCACACCAACTCTGAGAGGGAGGTGCTATTATTATCACCGTTTACAGAGAGGTAAACACCTACAGAATTAGTAATTCAACACAAGTGACCCAGGAAAGTGGACTCAAGCCCAGGTATACTTTCCTCAAACTCTTAAACCACTACAAAAAAATTATCACAAATTTCAACAAACACAATTTTGCCTATGTCCAAGAGTATAATATTCAGAATCCCTATTCATGATTCAAAATCAAAAACAAAAAACTCTCATATATAGTGTTTCATTCTTTGTAAATCTGGAATAATATAATACTGTGGTTTGAAAGTTATTTATTAAATAGCTTATAATCTTAAAAATAATTATTTGAAACTAGTAATATGTGGTGGAAGTAGTGGATCTTAAAAACGACTTAATATATTTAAAACACAATGCACACTTCCTCTTCTGCTTTGCATGTTACCAAAAATTCAAGATGACCACTTTAAAATTCTTCATAGTTCTCAAAGGGGAAATTCCATACTCTAATATTTTTTTGAAATTTTGCATTCTTTAAATAGTAAGAGTGAAAAACCTAAAATTTCCAGTTTATAATTTACCACCAAGTTCATTACTAAGATGATATTGATAAAAGTTTATCTTAGTTTGCTTTTCCTTCAATTCCTATGTCATACACAGAATTTCTTATAAACAACGAGGAGAAAATGCCTTAGCCTCTTTACTGAGATTCAAAGACGGCAAGTCAGAGCTTTCAAATTAAATCATGGGAAAGAATACAAATTACCTTACCTCGAATCCATTCCTGTTTCTTCTTCTTATCTGAGGCACTGATTTCAAAGGTCTTATCAATACATTTTATGATAAAAAGGCATTTCTTTCCATCTTTGTCAGGCAAGGACTAAAGCAGAAAGCAAAATCAGTGATCTAAAACTTAAGCTTTAAGTATTTATACAAATCTGGCCAAAACACAATGTCAATGAAAAATAGCAATAAATGCATACCATTGATCTATAAAAAAATTGCCCTAATTGATATTATTCATGACCCCAACTGCTCTATTATGTCTGGACTGAGAGAATGCTAAAGATCTTAAGGAGACACCGTGCTTTGGGCTTTTCTGAGCTCACCCATTCTTGTACCTGAGTATGTCCCACATAATTGTTCCAAAAGGCTTTTAGCCAGGGTGACCCCCACATCTGCCTGAAGTGGCTCTCCTCTCATTGCACCTGGGCTGGTGTTGCTAGCGAGCTGTGGTTCTGTCATATATCCTTATGGGTAGACTGATGTGGTATATGGTAAGTCTCGTGAGACTCCATGATTTGTCAGCTTAAGCAGCTGAATGGTAGGCACTGCACACCCATGTCTACACCACTCCATTCATCAAAATACATTAAAGTGAGATCCTAGATATTGAAAATAAATGTTCTCTGACAGAAGCAATCAGAGTGACAGTTCATATAAAAGGGAAAAACTCAAAAATGTATGATGATCCTGATGACTTCACTTCTTCACAGAATTAGTAACTATAAATAAAGTTTCCTGAAAGTCACCCAAAGGATTCAGAGCTAATACTCTTATATTCTTCTGTTTCATTTATTGTCTGCAAAATGTTTCAGATTTTCTAGTATATTCATCATTTCAAACATTGTCTTCATAAACAGTTGGTTTTCTAAGAGCGCATTTCTTTTTTTATGATTCAAATTTCTTTAATAAACTATCCATTAAATATATAAATAATTGAGGTTCAATTCCTATACTTGTTCATGAGTAAAATGCAGGATACAAAGTCACACTGGAGTCCTGGAGTGGCCCTGTAGGATAAGTACTAGACTGAAAGGTCGGTTTGAACCACAAGGTTGGCAGTTCAAACTTACCAATCACTCCTCAGAAATCATATATTGGGTCACTATGAGTTGGAATCGACTCGATGGCACTTACCAACAACAAAGCCACACTAGAAAAAAATTCTGCCAGCTATCTTTAATTTTGTTTCAGAAACATAGCTACTGCATGTCTGTATTACTTTGGAACGGTATCTGTATGCCTATATTGTTTTGAAAATGTAAAATTTGGGAATTATTTTAAGAATCTAGGATCTGGAAAAAGGAGTTCTGGTGGTACAAGTAGTTAAATGCTAGCTGCTAACCAAAAGATCAGCAGTTCGAATCCACCAGCCCCACCACACCACTCTGTCCTACAGGGTCACTCTGAAACAGACTCAATATTCCAGCAACAGTATGAGTATCTAGAAGAGGGTATGGAGTTCTATAAGTGTGGTGCTGTAAGACATGCACTGAATCACAAGGTCTGTTTGAACTGCCAAGTCAGTGGTTCAAATCTACCAGTCACTCCTCAGAAACCCTATATAGGGTCACTATGAGCTGGAGCCAACTGAACAGCTCTAATCAACAACAAAGAGGGAAGAAGAGAAACTACTGAAGAAGCAGCAGGGGGCAGACTGGGTAAGCCATGCAAAACAGGAACAGACTTACCTCTACACAGCAATTTTCATCCAACATAATATCTCCTTTCTTATCTTTCAGATCCTCACCCACGTAGTAAGAGATTATGTTGGGTTTCAGCACAAACCAGCGCTCAGTCCAATTTTTCCGTTTATGACCTTTTTTCATCATGTAACCCTATAAAAGATTAAATCTGCTATAAATGCTTATCTTTTTATTTATCTATAAGATAGTCATGTCTATGTTATAATCTGGTACATAATCCTGAATATTTCTTTTATGGACTATGGACCTTTTGAGAATCTATGAAGGTCAAGATTGTTTAAGAAAACTGAAATTTGTTAACATTAAATTCACAAGTGCTTATCACCTATGGTAAAACTACATTGTTGTTGCTGTTGTTCAATGCCATCGAGTCAGTTCTGACTCATGACATCCCTGTATAGGGTTTCCAAGCAGCAGCTGGTGTGTCTGAATCACCAGCTCACCTACCTTGTGTTTAGCAGTCCAGTGCTTATCCTATAGCGCCACACCATATCATTAAATTTATTGATATTAACTTAGCTATTAGTTTCATTTGATTACTATACACTGAACTCTAATCACATTAATTGCTTAGTTTCCTAATCACTGGACATTTAGCAAAAATTATCTATACTGCAATCCATCTGCAGTCATATTTTATGCCACCCTAATAGGTCTAGAGGAGTCCTGGTGTGGCACTGTGGGCTAATGGGTCAGACTGCAAAGTTGTTTGAACTGCAAGGTCGGCAGTTCAAGCTCACCAGCTGCTCCTTGGAAACCCTATACAGGGTCACTATGAGTCGGAATTAACTCGATGGCATTTAACAACAACAATAGGTCTAGAAGTCCTATTAAAATAGAGACAATGTCTCTTACCACTTTTTAGAACTAGAAACCTATACAGATTAAGCCTCAATAAATGTCTACTGATGCCTTCTATTTACGCAAAAAGTGCAAAGACAACAATATCATCTACTGAGCAGAGAAAGGAATTCCAAATTGGAGTTATTATTCCATATAATAATACACAAAGTTTGAAACACCCACAAAAAATTCTATTATAAATTCTATTTCACAAATGTTAAGCTTCCCATATATATAAGAGACACAATGCTAGAGGAGAAACCAAAGACAGCATTTAATGACTACATACTAGCAACCTTGTATAAAGGTGTCTTTTGTTTTTTTTTTTAAATAAAAGCCATATGTAATAATAATGTACAAAGTCAAATAATAGAGAAAGGTATAAAGTGAAAGTAAAATACACTAAAATCCCACAATGCAGAGGCGACCAGCTATGCTTTTGGTGAGTATCCTCCCAGACAGTTGGACACACATGATATGAAAAGGAATACAAGATACCTGCTGTTTAGCAAGCTGCTTTGATCACTGAACAATAACATTATGGAATCTTTCCAGATCAATGACTATGGATATAAACATGACTTGAAAGTACTCTAAAAAGTTGGGAAACGTGATATTTAAATCGTTTTTCCAAGATAGTACTCCAGAGGCAGAGCAAGATGGTGGACTACACAGAAAGGCTACTTTCCAAAGATTTGGAAAATCAAATGAAACAAAGGCAGATGATAGCCCTAGAATTCTGAGATAAAAGAAAGACAAGTGCATTGAATGCTTACTATGAGAGAGAGCTGAGCAGAAGTGGTAAAAAAAAAAAAAAAAAGTGACCACTAAGCTGTGGCGTCTGACTTGGACCTGACACAGCCATCTTGAGCGTTTGTGAGTGGTTTGAAAGACAAGAAAACATACTTATATTGCAGAATCCTTCCCGTGGCCATGGAAAAAAAGATGTGATTTTTTTTCTTGTTCCCCCACACTCCACTGGTGAATGGAAGCAAAGCCAGCTTCCACCCATGTATACTTCCAGAGAAGCCCTCACTCTCCCAGTGGTCAGAGCTGCATGGAGGTGAGTGCCATGGTTGTGAACCCCACTGAAGGAAGGAGAACTATCCACAATAACTCCACTCATGCAGGTCCTGCTCCAAATCTGCAGTCAGTCCTGGCCAGCCATGGATTAGCTCTCACTAGGAGAAGCAGCTGAACGGATGCATAAAATAGAAAAAAAGAAAGAAAGAAAAGAGACTGGTGATCTATGTGGGCCAGCCAGGTGCGGAACGCCCAACTTGACCTTTCCTGGGTGGCTGTGAAGGCAAAATGCCAGTTGGTGGCACAGAGGCATACCACTTATTGTTGGAGAAAAAGTGGTTTTTTTCTTCATTATTTTCCTTTTTTTAATGGAAATTAGTTTACTGGTTTGTTTTTCTTCTCTCTTGTGTGTTTTTTTTTCCTTCTTGCCTTACCTGACAGGACACACCAACTGTGTCCCCACAGCCCAGTTTACCATCCCATCAATATGCTGGATCAATGACAATACCCAGCATCAGCTAAATCCACCTTGAACTAACTGCCTGAAGAGCGAACACAGAATAGTCCACAAGCTCATCTCCTGATCACATCCACCAGGAGCCAGTTGGTGAGTGCCAAAGAACACACCAACATATAACCATCAATTTAATACAAATACAATACCACCACAATGCCTCAAAAAGCAGCAGACAATTTCTGTTCACACAAAGAAACAAGACAGAGTAGAGCAAACAAATGACCCAAGAGACAGAGCTAGAAAATGTTTTTGAGGAAAAAGAAGAACTAGAACCACCTGAAAAAAAAACTCAGGAGAATGAGATTTAGAAACCTCCAAATGACTGACAGAAAAGCCAAGGAAAACATGAAACAATTCAGAAGATCATTACAGGAACAATAAAACAAAATAAATAAAAGATTGGAGATAATAGAGAACGTACAAAGAGAAATTCAGAAGATTTAAACTAGGATATCAGAAATGGACAATACATTGAAAGAGCAAAGGAACAGATATGAATCAATGGAAGCCTGAATTAGTGAGCTTAAAGATAAACCTCTCAATACTAGTAAGCTAGACTAAGAACAATCAGAAAAAATAATGAAAAAATCTTAAGAAAGCCTAAGATTTTTGTGGGACAACATAAAGAGGAATAATTTATGGGTGAGCAGAATTCTAGAAAAAGGAGAGACAAAGAAAAGCACAGAAGTCAAAGAACTGCTGGAAGAAAATTTCCCTAAAATCATGAAAGATGAGAAGATAAGCATTCAAGAACCTGAACGAACTGCAAACAAGATAGGCCCCAAAAGAAAATCACCAAGACATATCAAAATCAAACTCTCCAAAATCCAAAACAAGGCAAGAATCCTGAGAGCAGGATTCTTTGAGGAAAATGAAATGTTGTCTACAAAGGAAAACCAGTAAGCTTAAGCTCTGCTTTTTCAGCAGAAACCAGGTAGGCAAGAAGGCAATGGGGAGACATATACAAATGTCAATTTTTTTCTGAAAGAAAAAAAATGACAACCAAGAATCATATATCCAGCAAAACTGTCCTTCAAATACAACTGTGAAATTAGAATATTTCCAAATAAACAGAAATGAAAGGATTTTGTAAAAACCAGGCTAACCATATAAAAATATCAAAGGAAGTCCTTTGGACTGAGAATCAACAACAGTAGACAACAACCAGAAATTGACATACATAGCAACACCACCCAAAATTCAATCCAGACTAAAACAAAACTACAAGACTGAAAATAGGGAATCAGAGATATCAATTTATAATGAAGACAACTACAAAGCAAAAAGAGGGAAAAGGATAGTGACAGAACTTCCAAATGACAAGGAAGTCAAGTAAATTTCAACATAAATCAGAATGTTTTAAACTAGAGAAGAAATGAATAAATTACAGGTTGTTGTTGTTGTTAAGTGTTGTCAAGTCAGTTCTGACCCATAGCAACTGTGTACAGGGAGTCCGAGGAGCAGTTAGGGAGCTTGACCCACCAACCTCAAAGAAATGTAATACACCTTCACATCAAGTCAAGAAAACAAAAATCTATGAAGATTTTGTAAACATTAAAACATGAGAAATTGGCAAGAAAATGTACACACAAAAAAATGAACTCAGCACAGGAAAATATGTGGAACAAAGAAACCAACAGCATCACAAAAAACACACAGTAAAATGACTGCAGTCAATTCACACCTGTTGATAATTACACCAAACTTTAATGGAATAAATGCACCACTCAAGAGACAGAGAATAACAGGATGTGTAAGAAAACAGGATCCTTCAATTTGTTGTCCACATGAAATACACCTTACACACAAAGACACAGATTTAAAATTAAAGAACGGAAAAAATATATCAAGCTAATAGCAATCAAAAATGGGCAGGAGTGGCACTATCTTAATTTCTGATAAATGAGACAATAAGGTAAAACCCAGCATAAGAAACTAAGAAGGAAATTAACTCATGATTAAAGGGTCAGTTGAACAAAAGGACACAATCATAATAAATGTCTATGCTCCTAAAAATCAAGAGAACAAACAAGATGGCAGATCAGGTAGACGTGCAGTGAGGAGCTTCATCAGCAACAACACAGAATATCGGACCAAGCAGGCTCAAGGGATGGCCCCAGAACTCGGAACCACATATAAAAGAATATTTAGAAGGTTTTAAGGCTTACAGCCAGTGGAATTTGCAGCAAAAGCAAGAAATCCAGTGCTTTCTAATCCAAGGTGCTCAGCTGCTCCCTGAGCGGCCATCTTGAGTGAGACCAAAGCAGGGAAGGATCAGAGCAGCCACAGACACCTGACAGACCACAGAGATAAAAGTGTGGACATTCTTTTTATAACATCTGTTTATTGGTCTCTCACAGTCTGCGCACCTCCATTCTGGTAACTAGAGGGGGTGCCTGAGCGAGTGGACACTCCACTCACACCCCCAGAGGGATCTATTATGCATGTGCACAGATCTCCTCAAACTTTAAAGGGACAGTTTCCACTTAAAACCAAATAGCAGCGCAAAACAGCCACAGCTGGCCCTGCACTGTTTATCACTAGGAAAAAGGCCTGAACAGGGGATGTGGAGCAGGACAGGCAGACTAAAAAGGAAACAGGCTGATAATTAAATCCTGAGTTATGTCATAATGACCAGTAGTGGCATCTTGAAATTTTTCAGGAAGAGTGAAAAGGGAAGCCCATCTCCTAATCACATCTACCTGGAGGCAATCAGAAAGCATAAAAAATACTAAAACACACACACACATCCAAGTTTTAAGGCCACAGCTAATCACCAAATATGCCCAAAAAACAGAAACCAATGACCATATCAGCACATGACCAGAAACAAGATAAAGTGACTGAGACAAATGAGCTGGAGGTAGACCTACACTCCACACTGGAAGGAGGGCAGGCTTTAGAAATGCCTGAGAAGGAATTCAGAAAAATGATTATAAAATGTATCAAAACACTTACAATGGAGTTGAGAAAAATAAGGAGGAAGTCAGGATAGTGCTACAGGAACAATTAAATAAGATAGATACAGCATTGGAAACAATTCAAAACCTACAGAAAGAGATCCAAAACTTACAGAAAGAAATGGACAATACACTGAAAGGGAAAGGAGTAGAACTAAAGAGATGGAAGCCAGAACTAGTGAGCTGGAAGATAAATCTCTCAATACCACTAAGAGAGAAGAGCAAACAGCAAAAAGGATAAAAAAAATCTGAAGAAGGTCTAACATTCATGTTGGACAACATGAAGAGGAATAACTTAAAAATTACTGACATTCCAGAACAGGAAGAATTACGTAAATCCACAGAAGAAATAGTTGAAGAATTTCTGGAAGAAAATTTTACTAACATCCTGAAAAGTGAGAAGATAAGCATCCAAACAGCTCATCAAACCCCAGGAAGGGTAGGCTCCAAAAGAAAAACACCAAGACATACAATAATCAAGCTCTCCAAAATCAAAGATAAGGGCAGAATACTGAAGGCAGCTAGGGAAAAGAGAAGTGTAACATACAAAAGTAAGCAAATCAGACTAAGCTCAGATTTCTCAACAGAAACCATGCAGGCAAGAAGGCAATGGGGAAATATATATAAAACCCTGAAAGAAAAAAAACTGCCGACCAAGAATCCTCTATCCAGCAAAGCTGTCAATCAAATACAATGATGTAATCAAAACATTCCAGGATAAATAGGAGCTAAGGGATTATGCCAAAGCCAACCCTGCAATGGAAAATATCCTAAAAGGAGTTCTATGGACAGAGAACCAACAAGAACAGACAACAACTAGAGATTTACATATGTGGCAGCATCACCCAGAACTCCATCGACAAATGGAAGAGTAGAGAACAAAATAAAACTATAAAACAAATTCAAAGGATCTGGGAGGTCAGTCTATGATCAAAACAATTACAATGTGAAAGAAGATAAACACAGAGAACAAAGCTCCAGGTGGTAAGAAGGTCAGATAGATTACAGAATAAAATAGACTGTCTTAAATGGAGTGAAGAATTTATGGAATATATGGAAGCCACAACAGTAGGGTGGGGGTTTAGTTCAGGTGTTGGGGAAGGCAATACAAGAAGGGGGAGGAGATGGAAGAACAAGATAGATAGGGGAACACTGAGACAGGTTTGCATGACCCAAGTGGGACAGAGGTAAATAGTGATGCATGCTCAACCTTGGAACAACAGGGCTCTGGGATACAGGGATCTAGGCAGAGTTTGAAGAGGGGAAATAATACTAATATACTTGACTGTCTTATGAATATTGGTTTCCTTTGCCTACTATTGTAAAATAGACACTCGAGTGGGATAGAAAGGGATGTTGGGAAACATGATTAGAGAAAACTTGTAAGCCCATCTTCAGCCTATAACTGACAGGAATACCTAAAAGGGGTTCTAGAACTTGTCCAGTGAAATAGGACTCGTACAAAGCCTTTACAGAGTATAGGACCTTAGATGGAATCCTGAGTCCCATCCAGAACCTTATGTGGTGGGACATTCCCACTAGCAACGACAAGCAGACCATCCTGGAACAGCTAGAGTGACATAAGATACATCTTCAAAGAAAGGTCATCAGGAAAAACCCAAACCAAAAATGTCAGAATGACTGGCTACTACAAGAATAAGCAAGCTGTTCTTTGGGAAGCTATCAAAGAAAGCAATCAAGTTCTTTCAGGACAGACTCCCCTCTAAGACTGAAACTCAAAGGGAACACATGAACAGGCATATAAGCTTGCTGGCAAGCATGTTGGTCTACTTGTGAACGGGAGACGAGGAAAGGCAGCAATGAAGAAATGGGCTGAGTTCAACCACAGTCCATTGACTCCCGTTGACCTGGAGATGAGAGAGACAAGAGGAAGGGCTGGTTGGAACAAAGTGTGGTGAGACCTGGGGACACTTGATCCCATGGACAAGGACATAGCCACAGAGGGCTAGAGCTGAAAGTGAAGCATCCAGCTGATATGATGTGAGGGGAGATGCACAAGGACACCCAAACTTGCAGATAGTACCCATTTGACCTAGCCTGGATGGCTTTATAATCAGAACTCGACTAGAGGAAGATTACAAAACAAAACAAAAAAAAAATTTTTTTTTTAATAAAGGAAACAAGTATAAATTGCTACAATTTGATGAACCTGACCTATACTCATGGAGGTAGTAACTCTAAATACGAACAGAGAGGGAAGGATTCTTCACATCAAGTACCAATGTTATCCCCTCTGTACACAGAGTAGATAGGGATGGGCAACTTAGACATTGGCTACATAAACTGAGGGGGCAATAAAGGCACGAAGTGACTGGTTTACAAGGTTTCAAGAGGGAGTTTAGTTTAAGAGTGGGGGGGTGGGAATAAAGTGTCTCCACTGAATAGTTTTCATCTTGTCTGGATGGGTCTGGTGAAAAGAGATGGGGATAAGATTCGTATGATTCAATAGTGAATAACTGTTATTATGACTAACTGCAACTGTCACTACTGTAAAGGTAGAAGTTTTGTAACAAAAACAGGGGAGTGGTTAATCTTACAATCCAGAAACAGAGGACCCTAGGAACATCAAGGGACAAGCAGAACATCAAGCGCACAAGCAGAATGCAGGACCTTATCCAGAGAAGCAACAACGCCAGACATAGAGGCAAAGATGGAGACATGGAGAAAATGAGCAGCTGAGGGCTCTATATCCATGGGAAGAGAGGGACCAAGAGCCGGTGGTTAGGAGATAGACTTTCAGAATGTGCCCTTTGGAGATGTAAATTATTATATATGCTTAAGTGGTTTTGTTTTATATTAAATAGCTAAAGCAAATAGAGAGAAATACTGTTAACTGGTGGTACATGGAGGGGATTATAATCGTAATGAAACAAGGTGTATGATTTGTTGAATGTAAAACTGATGATCTGCCTTGTAAACTTTCACACAATCCACAATAAAAACCTTAAAAAAAAAATGTCTATGCTCCAAATGAAAAAGCCTCAAAATATATCAATCAAAATAGGAGTCAGAATTCTTAATTAAAATTCAAAATTACAGTAGTAATTCTAATTCTCAAAAACAAAGCTTAATACAAGACTGGGAAATAGGAAACTTTATTCCCACTCTAAATCTATGTAGCATCGTGATTACGAAACGGGCTGCTAACCTCAGGGTCAGCAGTTTGAAACTACCGGCTGCTCCATGGGAGAAAGATGAGAATTTCTGCTCCCGTAAAGATTTACAGACTCAGAAAGCCTGTACAGGGTAGCTATGAGTTGGAATCGACTCCATGGCACATAACCACCAAATCTATGTAAGATCATAAGTGACTTACCTTTGCAATATAAATCTTACTTTATATTTCAAGGATTTCAGATTCCAAAGACAAAGAAAAATATAGTATTATAGCATATTTACCTGTTTCAACACATCTAATATAAGCTCATTAAAGACTTCATTAATTGCCATAGACACCGTCTGCCGATCCATGCCTTTGCTGAAGTGTCCATTTCCAATCAGTTCAATAAGTTCCCACACAGAGAGCCCATCTTTATTGTTATCAAAGTTGATTTTAAAATGCTCAAATTGTTCTTGCTGCCAACCTCCTCCCATAGCTTCTGTGAGTTTCTTCAGCAGGTATTCAATCTATAGAAAGAAAAAAAATTTATTATTTCCTAGTTTAAACGGAATAACTTTTCTAACAGGAATGTATCAATGGTGCTTACACTAATATGCCAATTCAGGAAAAGTTATTTTCAATAAAATTTCTTTTATAGCCCAAAGTATTTATCGCCAAAGAATCCTAGTACCGGGGGAATAAAGGAATGGGGGACATTCCATTGGGTTTACATTAGCCTAGAGTAAGCAACGTAATAAAAAATTGATAACCTTCCAGTAATACAGGATATATTGGTATACAAAGATAAAACAAGGTCCACACACACCACCATACATGAACTAATCTGATTTGATACATGGCTCCATTGTACAGATATTTTAATATATTATTATACTGACATTAGAGTCCTGGTATGGCGCTATGGGTTAATGCACTAGACTGCAGTCAGTTTGAACCAAAAGGTCAGCAATTCAAGCTCACCAGCTACTCTTCGGAAACACTATACAGGGTCACTGTAGAGTCAGAACCAACTTGATGGCACTTAACAACAACATACTGATATTAGTGAACTAACATACAAGCATCTCAAATTAGTATGTACCTCTGGTAGCGTAGTGGTTACGAATCGGGCTGCGAACCTTAAGGTCAGCGGTTCGAAACTACCAGCCCCTCCGCGCGAGAAAGATGAGGCTTTCTACTCCCGTAAAGATTTATACCCTTGGAAACCCTGTACAGGGTCGCTATGGGTCGGAACCGACTCAACGGCACTTAACAACAACAACATATCCCCAATTTACAAATTTTCCGTGTTATTTTAAATTCACACCCTCCCATTAGAACACTAACAATGTTGTAAATGACGGTTGAATTTCTACCTGGGCTGGAAAAGCTTACTAAATCCTGAAACAGCATACGTTTGTATAGCAAAATAGACAACGTTGCCACTGAAATAGCACCAGTTAAGTGAAACAGTGAGACAGTAACACTGAATGAAAAACTCATCTTTTCTCTTCTGAAAAGCCTGTGTGTCCTACAGTGCTCTTGACCTCAAACTGTCCAAAAAGGAACTGTCCATTGCTACCTTTCAAATGGCTTCTTCCCAATCCCTCGATCAACGATTTCCATTTGGAGCACCACCTTCACAAATTTACCCATGCCAGGATCCCTGTTCTTCACCACTCTTTCACATAAAACAAGTCACAAGATCAGAGTTTTTCAAACAGTGGGTTATGATTCACTCTGAGATCAACTTACCAAGTAGTACTCAATATGTTTCCCCTAAATTGTATTTATTTTGTTGTTGTTGAGAATATACACAGCAAAACATAAACCAATTCAGTAGCTTCTCTACATGTACCGTTCGGTGACACTGATGACATCCTTGGAGCTGTACAACCATTCCCAGTCTACTTTTCTGAGTTGTTCCTCCTCCATTAACATACACTCACTGTCGCCAAGGTTCCTATCTAATCTTTCAAGTTGCCGTTGTCAATTTAACCCCCTGATAATTCTCATAAGAGCATACTCCTCAAGGGAGACTTTTTAACTAGTTAAATTAAAGTACTGTTCTGTTTAAATAAAGCTCTGGTAACGTAGTGGTTACAAATCAGGCTGCAAACCTCATGGTCAGCAGTTCGAAATTACCAGCTGTCCCAAGGGAGAAAGATGAGGCTTTCTGCTCCCGTAAAGATTTACAGCCTCGGAAACCCTGTACTGGGTCACCATGAGATGGAAACGACTCACACAAAGACCACCACCACCACTGTTCAGTTTTAAGATAAGTCCAGGGGCTATTTTTGGTTTAAAGAGAATCTCAGGGCAATAGTTTCAGCGTTTCATCCAACATCCATACATAGCTCCAGGAAGTTTGGAGTCCACAAGAATTTGAAATTCTGTTGTATCCCACCCCACGCCCCCCCTTTTTAAAATCAGGATTCTCCTATGGAATCATCTATTAAAATATTTAGTAATGTTAGCCAGGCACCATGCAGTTCTTCTGGTCTTACAGCAAAGGAAGCACTGCATGGAGGCAATCTGCCACATGTTCCATATTCTCCTTCTAGTCCAGACTCTCCTTCTTCCTCTATTGTTCCGGGTAAATAGAGACTAATTGTTGTGCCTTGAATGGCCTCTTGTAAACTTTTAAAAACCCTGGCACTAGTCAATGAACTAGGAGGTAGTAGAACAGAAGCACTAAACATGGTATTAGTCCAATCAGCTATGTTGCCCCAGTTAATTGAAATGACCCTAAACCTCTAAATCAAGGAACCAAATCTTTTGAGGTATTTGGTTATACACAAGCAGCCTCAGCAACTACTCTTTTTTATTATTGTTGTTGTTGTTATAAATACAAGGAGCTTCAAAAAGTTCATGGAAGAATGGGATCGGTCTTGAAGCCCCCTCGTATATGACATAACTTTTGCCAATTCAGTTTTTTATAAGAGTTCAGCTCATTGACAGCAATCACAGTACTAGACTGTGCCACCCTATTCATCCTTGGATCAGTGTGATTTCTCCATCACCCTTCACCCAGTCTCTTTTATGGCCTTTCTCCTGTTCCTAGTAACCACTAATCAACTTTGGTCTTGTCTAAATGGTCTTGTCTAAGTGAGGTCATATAATATTTGCCTATTTGTAATTGATTTATTTTGCCTAGCACGTCTTCAAGTTCCATCCATACTGTAGCCTGTATCAAAGATTTCATTTCTCCTGCTAGCTGAATAGCATTCCATTGTATGTATGTACTACATTTTTTTAATCCATTCATCTGTTGATGGAAATTTAGATTGTTTTCACCTTTTACTACAGTGAATACTGCTTCAATGACACTGGTGTACAAGTCTCTATTTGAGTCTCTGCTTCTAGTCTTTTGGATATACAAATAGAAATAGTATTGCTAGGTCATACGGTATTTCAAATAAGGATCCTGGTAGTGTTGAGGGTTATGCATTGGGCTGCTAACCACAAGGTCAGCAGTTCAAATCCACTGTCACTCCTCGGGAAAAAGATAAGGTTTCTGCTCCCATAAAGATTTACAGTCTCGGAAACCCTAGATAGGGTTGCTATGAGTTGGAACCAACTCCACAGCAGACAGCCACAACCAACATGCTATTTCTATTCTTAGGTTTTTGAGGATCCTACACTGTTTTCCACAATGGCTGTACCATTTTGTGTTTCACCAGCAATAAATAATGTTCCAATTTCCCCACTTTGTTTTTTAAATCTTACTCATCCTAATTCACTGCCATTAAGTTTATTTGACTCATAGTGACCCTGTATAGGGTTCCTGAAGCTGTAAACCATTATGAGAACAGAAAGCCTACACTTTCTCCTACAGGGTGACTGAGGAGTTTGAACTACTAACCTTGCAATCAGAAGTCCAGTGCTTACCTTACAGTGCCACCAGGACTCCTTTAGCCATCCTAGTGGGAGAGACATAAAGACTCATCGTGTGCTGCTGTAGGATAAGCAGTGGAACTCTTATAGTGCTTCCAAGGAGCAGCTGATGGATTTGAACCACCAAACTTGTGCTTAGCAGTTTAGGGTTTATCCAACAGTGCCACACCAAGATTCCTGTGTTTAATACTTTGTTATAAAAAGTGTCTCTGGGAAAATAAGACACTGATGGAGAAAGGACCATCCATCACAACAATGAGATGCCAAGTAATTCAAGAATGGTTTGCCATTGCATTTCCTCAGAAGGTTGAAAATAGAAATACCTTATGACCCAGTAATTCCTCTACTTGGTATTTACCCACAAGAAAAACGAGCCATAACATGAGAAGATATATGCACACCAATGTTTATAGCAACAGAAGATATATGCACACCAATGTTTATAGCAGCACTATTTACAATAGCAAAAAGATGGAGACAGCCAAAGTGCCCATCAACTGAAAAATGGATAAACAAATTGTGGTACACACACACAATGGATATTATGCTACCTTGAAGAACAACAAGGAAGCTGCAAGCCATCGCATAACACGGATGAACCTTGAGAACATCATACTGAGTGAAATTAGTCAGTCACAAAAAGAGAAATACTGCTTGGGACCACTACTACTGTAAAAGACTAAGGGAAAGAACCCAGACTAAAGGGGGGTGGGGGGTTTTCTCTGTTGATTATTGAGATGTTGGGGGTGGATGAGGGGAGGGAAGGGAAGGTGGAGCACAGGGCAGGGATTAGACACAGGATAGTTTGGGTGATAGGGAGGGGGCAATATATAAGTAGGGAGAGGGGAATGGAAGAACAAAGCAGATGGGAGAACAATTAGACAGGTCTCAATGGGCTAAGTGAGACAGAAGTAAATAATGATATATGCACAACTTGAGAACAACAGAGTTCTGGGACACAGAGATTGAG